GTTTAAGACGTGTGAGGGACGCGGCGCTGGACTGAAACTCTGGCTAAGCCAGTCAGATGTTTTTGCCGTGGAAGAGAATATTAACGATGTCCCCTCACACAATATTATATTCAACCTATTTAATAGACTTTATGATTTATTATACATACATTTATGTCGATTTCCTGTGTATGTATTTTTTTTTTTTTTTTTATTAATCTGTTAATTTTTTTTATGTACATATTAAAACTCAATTTTTATAATGAAATAATGCAAACAATATGATTTTATTATAATAATAATGACATAATTACTAACGAAATTACTGGTTTTCTTTACATTTATTTGTTTTATTTTTTATTACTACTTCATCTACTAATACTAAAAATAACAATAATGACTTAGAGTATGGTTAACTACAATATCGTATAATTAATAACCATTAAACATAATAGTAATAATATTTTTGTTTAGTGAACGGTTATAATACATTTTTTTTTTTTGGAACATTAATGATTTGTACATTTACAAGACGTTTTACACGTTGATAGGTAATAAACACCAAAAATAATTACAATAATAATACAAGTATTAGTATTAATGAAAACGGAGTAGGTAGACGATCACTTCGTCTCATTCATTTCTTCATCATCGCTACCGGGTTGTTGCTCACTGTAAGTATAAACAAATAAATCATTAAGTATCTATAGTATTATGTATATATATATATATATAGCGGTCGTGTAAAAGGTTACTTAAGGTCACGTTAATTTGTAATGGTACAAAAAAGTTTTATTCCATTTACTCGACATAACAACTCGGAACACGTTTTACTTTTATAAAAAAACATTTTAAATGTTATAATATGCATTTCAAAGAATTTAGAGATTTAATTTTAAACAACTTTTTGCAAATATCGCCTACCGTAACAGCAACTGAATTATTTGATCTAAAAAAGAAGAAAAATCGTAAACAAGCACCAGAAGACAGCCATTATCAAGAACCTATCCCAGTACCCCAAAACTACAAAAGAAGCAAATATTTTTAAATTTGCAAAGAATTGACGCGGCCGCATCGCGACGTCGGCGGTGGTCGGGTGCTAATCACACTTGTCACCGCCGGACGGCGTCCGCGCCCGCTTCCCCTTCCAATCGTCCGACAGGCCGCGCTCGCCGGACGGACACCGACTGCCTCCGCCGCCGCCGGGCAAACCGTTGACACTTCCGTTACACGGCTTCCACGGCCTTCGTCAATATTATAATACTGTTTACTTTCACTTATGAAAATATAATCATCCGTGATAGCTTAACTCCGTTTCTCTTTATTTAAAACTACCCTTCAATCAACCCTCTCCTTACGACCACAACAAGTTGTAAATAGCGTAAATAGCCTTATAATATAATAAACTCATTTTTACAGAGAAACGTTTCAGTTTGTTGTTATATTAACCTTGCCCCAGATTAACAATAAATAAATTACATATTATATATATACTATTATTATTATTATTATTTATTATTATTTATTAATATTGTATCTAGCTTATTCAGTATTTCAATATAATAGTATTTTACCAAAAGTAGTCTTGTTATAAGATGGACATTATAATTATTGTTGTGATTATAATACAAAATACACCCGATGTTAAGAACGCATTTTCATCAATATGGGAGGCAGGGCGACCGTCAATGACAACCGGAGATGTTGTCAGTGTCCGGGATTGTGTTACCGGTAGACGTGCAAAGAACTCTTATATGACCCTATTTTTTCCTATGTTTATATTATAACTAATTATGTTCTAGGCTTTTTGAAATAGTGGTTCTATCAATTTCAACTACAATGGGTCTCATATCATAATTTTACTGGCATTGTGCGGTGTCATTTATACTTTCTGTTAGTTGATACTGGAGTACCAGGAACAGCAATATCCCAAAAAATTAATGGACTTGCCTAATCTAGAATATCTGGATCGTGTCAATGGATGCATACCGTATTATTTTGTCGGCGACGAAGCGTTTCCTCTCTAAGAAAACTTAATGATGCCTAATTCTGCTAGAGGAAAGTCCAATATGTCAAAAGATGAAGAAGTATTCAACTACATGTAAAAAACACAATTTATTCAATATCAATTATGAGTTAGAGATGATAACTTTTTAAGCCATACTACAGTATTAATTATTTAATCAATGACTGTTTAGGTTAAGCAGAACAAGACGAACAATTGAAAATACCTTAGGAATAATGGCATCTAGATTCCGTATCTATTGGAAACAGAAGACAAAAGAATAACAGAAGAAGATACAACTATTCCCATTACAAAAGCAACCATTGTTTTGCATAACTTCATAAAAAATTCAGAAACAGATATAGGTTGTGAATAACATAGTTCCAATCAAAAGAAAACCACCAAAAACATTGCTATGTTGAGCCAATAAGCTTCTTTTAGCTGCAATTCGATCTTCTTCCGGATCGTAATCAACGCGATATTGATACAGACTATAATTCCCATTGCATTAGTCATTTGTTCTTCATTCGGTCGACGGCCGCGTAGACTTCCCCGGCCAAGAGGAACTAGTATATCATCTATATTGAAGGCAAACATATCCGAATAAAATGTCCGTCAAATTCAGGAAGCATGTACTTTAATTACAAACATTTTCTTTTCAATTGTTTAAAGGGCTATAGTAAAGATAGTTGCAGTGGTGTTTTACACAATTTAACACGGTTTAATTTACGGTGTAACACCGTATTAAAAATAACAAACATAAAGATACTTCCAAAATTAAAACACTCTATGTATTCATTGGCGACGAAGCTTTTCCTTTACCAGAACAAATTATTACGATCCCCATCCATGAGTTGTGACTGAAGTTGACGCTGCAACTTTTTTTGTTTATGTAAGTACATTTAATTTTTATTTAAGCAACGTGATAAACATTTTTATTTAGTAGAATTATTATTTTGACTGGTTTATATGGAATTTATTTTTTAAGTACTCGTGAAAAAGAGTTATGTTAACATTCTGGGCAAAATGTATACCGATAAATTGAGAAAAAAAATCGTTTGTACCTTATAATTTAATTTAAAGCGTAGTATTTAGCCACTACCGCCGGGTCGCCCTACTGATAACGCACTTTTTCAATATACCTCTCGTAATTAACCAAATTAATCATACCGGAATCTGAAAATTACATAAGTTACTGAAGCTTTAAATTACAAAGGTTTTTTTTACTAAGGCAAGCATTGTCAACTAGGCTATCCAAAACTATAAAGAAAATGAAACCACGTAGTTTAATTTCATCAAATTTAGGGTAAAGTCACTGTGGTCTTAAAAATGGTTTTTTAACATATACATGTATACATGTATATTAAAAAAAGCCATTACTTATTACTAACAAAAATGTATATTATATTAACTAAAATGGTTTTTACTCAAAGAAAAAATGATTAAATTAAAAATAATACCATGAAGCTTTTACAAATTAACCAATAAATTAATTGAAATTGTCGAAATTTATTAAAAGCACTTTTTTCTTAAATATTGCCTAAACAAAACACCTTAAAAATTAGCTGGTACCTGTATGATAAAACATGTTATAAACTATGACTTAGATAAATATTTATTCTACAATATATACACTCCAATAGTAGACTCTTATCACCCACGCTTAGAATTCTTTTATCCACTTAACTCATTTAGTTTACTAAATGACCAATCAAACCCCGTTGTTTATAATTTCAATGCATGCAATTTCAATGATATTATTAGTTTCTTGGCCAATATCGATATAGTCCTTAATCTTATTAGTTTGCATTTAGATGCAGCGATCTCCAAATTTTACGAAATTTTAAACCATTGTTTTGATCTATTCGTTCCAACACTAAAAATTAATCAAAATATGATATGAAATATGATATATAAAATATGGTACAGTTTGGTCTAACAAAGAGTACAGAGACCTGACTAGACTAATAAAGGTAGCTCATAAAAAATATAAAAAACCTAATATTTGTTCAGATTATTTAAAATTTTCGCATTTACGGAAAAAACGCAAATTTTTATCTGATCGTATTCATGCGAATTATTCCTCTAAAATCAAAAATAATATTAACCATAATTTTTTGGAAGTATATAAAAACTCTCAAGTCTAATAAATCAAGTATTCCGTCCTCTGTTACGTTGGATGACTGTGTTGCTGATAATATTGAGAATACCTCCAAGTTATTTGCTAGTTATTTTTCTTCAGTGTATTCTGGTAATAATACTATTGTAGAGCATCGAGAACGACCGTATACAAATTATTATCTTGATCTCAACTTTAAGTCGTGTGTTATCTCTCGTATTGGAAATTTTCTTAGCTTTTCAAATATATAAGTTTAATTAGCGGACTCGGCCCGGAAAATATACCCGAGCCCAAAAACGACAGCCGGGTCGCAGTACGGTTACGCCTCGTGCCGCGAACTTGTCGCGTTCAATAAATTATTAAAAATATATTCCTTCTAGGTGGTCACACTGCGAGTACATATGTATTTTGTAGATTTTAAATATACTAACAACTCTACCGCCTACTGCATATAAGCTACATTTCGCACAAGTCAGAACACGCTGTTACCTTTCTTTGCATAAAGACGTATAAACAGGTAACGCATATTTTGTGAGTTGTAACTGAAGTTGACGCTGCAACTTTTGTTGTTTTTGTTTAGAAAGAATCCAAGATTTCAATGATGTAAACATTTTTTTGCGATATGCGTCACTTTAGATAGGCAATTATAATACACCAATGTAACTCATGTTGCCTAACAAAGTAGTCGCTGACCGTTTAATACAAAAAAGTAAATAAACGTATCTGGATTTTCTTAAGTAATTACTTTTTACTGTAAATTCTTGAAAACACGGTTAACAACGATCTTGTGTATTTTCGGCATGGTATTGACTATTGTTATATTTTATTTACCTACTACATCAACTATAAACACTATTAGTGTGTTGTTTTATAATTTTGGTCTACAAAACGTACAAAATGGACGTTAAGTATTTATTTTCTTCGGTCGATATGCTAAAGACTGCCAATTGTTCGATTAACGAAGACCTCATACCCGTTTTGTACGATTCGTTGATCAGATTGCAAAGTGAAAATCACTTCAACTCCGTTTACCTGTGGGGACGTCTGCAAACGCTGTCGGACGATTACTTTTTAGCGTACGGCCACTATGGAAATCCGGTGAACAAAAAAACCTTTTTCTACAGGTAAACTTTCAATGGTCAGTGTATATAGAAGCTTCGGAATAATATAAAATATGATCAAATCATTTTAAATAAACAAATAACCGTATTTATACCTACGTTGTTTGCAATTAAAAATATTTCACGACAAATAATTTGAAATATTAAAAAAATATAATACATCATACCTTTCAATATTGTTGTAAAGAGCGGTAAACTTTTTCTTGTCTTGTGTAGACTTTTAAAGCTTAAGGGTTTTGCCGAAAGCTAGTACTGACGAGTGTGTTCTCCATTGCACTCGGTATGCCGTACAATAGCATTAGTCAGTTGAATTGTACCTATTGATGATTATTATTATTCGCCTATGTCTTTAGCCAGAACGTCATCGAATGGAGTCTGATTCCAACGGATTATCCGGCGGACGGATCTGATCTGGTGAAAACCATGAAAGACCGGTTTAAAGGTGATCCCAGACACGTGCAAATGGCCAATTTATTCAAACCGTGGACGGATCAGATGGCAGAGAACAACACGCCATCGAACATGTCGGCTGACGTTTATGGAGAAGGCGAAGGCGAGGAAATCGTTCCCGAAGGACGGTCAAAAAACGTCCGGGCCAGCGACGTCTTATCTTTGTTTGAAATGGAAGAAGGCGCCATGACGGTATAAAGTTATCTACAAGTATTGAATAAATCCACCGCATTGTCCCTTGAGCAATTCTTACGAGTCGGCGGGGGTTAAAAGAAGAAGAAAACTAAGATTAGCGGTAGGGCGTTCGAAATCCAGTTTTCCCCAAAAAAAATCTACAGATGCTATGAGTCTTGAAAAATACAGTATTAACAAATATCTTAATAAAAATACAGCACAAAATGATTGTTTAGAACACTATACATATCATCTTAGATCAACAGGCTTTGAAGGCCCCACGTTGCCTTCATGAGATGACAGTAAAAACAATACTTGCTGATCGAAAAAATCTATAAAATCAGAAAGAATAAAATTTCATTAATTTCTCCATTCAGTTTTGACTATTTAACAATTTTTTCAGCAAATATTTATCATTAAAATACACATTTGTTAATTGTATTTAAAATAAGTATTAATATGCTTATGTATGGCTATAATAACGGGATTTATCAAAATTTTCATTTTTGTGGTCTTATCTTTACTTCTTTAACCAGCTGGGTTTTAAGTAGGCTAGATGGACAAAATATGAAAGTAAACCGGAGAAATGCGAATTAAAAAAATACAGATCGTGTGTGAAAAGCAAAAATCTGAACTTATCTGAACACAACATTTTTGTATAACATTAATTATATATTTAACATGTATCAAAGCTTGTGTTTTATACAAAACTTATATACTTAATAAAATATTTTTTAAAAATTGGTATAATGTTTGTTATTAATTCGTCCGTTAAACAGAGTTGACAGACTCAGTTTTTTTTTGTTTTTTTTAAGGCCCAACCAAATTAGTTTTTTGGGGTATGTATAATCTAATCTAACCTGGAAATTATTTAAAACAAAATTGTAGTTAAATTTAAATTTAGACAATAATAATGTTTTGGTAAACACTAAAATATTTGCCGGGTATAACTATACAAAAAAACATCATCCAAAAAATAAATTCTCCGAAGTTCAATGAAATTGAAGATATGGTATATTTTAACTTGATTATAGGAAATCTACGGTTCGAGGGATTCGGACGCGACCAAGATGATTAAAGAGGAAGACAGATTGGCGGTTACAGTAGACATGATCGAAAACGAGACGCATGTGGTGCCCCGGGGCTTCCTGTACAAACTCCCCAATGGAAATATAGTGAACGCGCCGTACTATAAGGGTAGGTGGCAGTAGGCACATAAATAATGCGTCATATGATGTCAACATACAAGAATCTTAAGTTAAGGTTAACCGCAGGTCTGGATCATTCGGAAATAGGCGACTTACGCAATTTTCAACATCTGAAAGAGCAATTTCCATCAGCCAAAGGGTCCGAAAGCAAAGCAAAGCTACGGTGTGACTATAATGCGTCCATAGACTTCCTGGAGTCCATTGAAAATGACATCCCCAAGGGTACGGCGAGTATTGTAATTTAAAGGTCGCAGCTTAAGTATTTATTTAATTACTATTTTTTGTAAAAGGCTGTTGGGCTCCACAAATCATATTCAACAGATATTTTGTGATGCACAACCTGTTGTGGCCGGGCGCAGTATTTTTTCAAGACATGAATACTGGCGTGCACGGTTTTTTCTACAATGGCGACGGTATTAAAAATTTAGATCTACCATTTATGCTCAAATGTTAAGCAAATTTATAGACAACCGACAATAAAATATTTAAATTTATTTTTCATTATCTGGTTATAGTTTCTTCTTTAAACGATCTTTTGACCGGGTTACGAAATGTTGCCCATAAATATGGGAAAGGTAACCTTGTAACACAATTTCAAATACACAGCCATTTTTTGGAACAGCTGTAATCAGAATACAATATTAAGTTTAAAAAATGTATAAACAATTATTGCATATTGTACTAACTATTTAGTGTGTTATCAGGTCCTACAATTTGGAATGTATTTTTAGTTTCGAGTATAATTAAACCCTGTAGCCAATATATGAACAACATCTGGAACTTATCACTTTAACGTGAGCACCGTGGTAATCACATTTATACAAACTTGTCATAAGACCTGACCAGTATCTATCTGTTTTGTGTAATGTGTGTTAACATAATAATATACACATTATTCTGTTCATAGAAAACAAATAAACTAATTATTTATAAATTATAAACTGTACTTACTATTACCCTCAGTTCTGTCTAAACGGCGAATATTTTGATTGCAAATTTTCAACACTGCAGTTAATACTGTTTGTCGGTAGATTTAGTTCCATGTATGGAGACTATAAGTATATACTGAGAATTGCAGTTTTCGAGTATTAATCAATGAGTCATACATGCATGAAAGTATGGACAGAGCCGATTGTAGGTAATTTTAATATATGAAATATTCTTGTTTAGTATTTATAGTTTTTATTTTACTGTTTTGAAAATTTAAAAGCCATGAACAATTGGCGATACATACGCCAATGGGAGTGGCTTTCCGGTTGAGGGAGTTTAGATACTCCAAATCCCCTTTAACCTAATATGCGCCAATGATCACGTGTATTAAACTTATCCTTGACAAGATCCCATAGAAACTCGAGAAGAAATAGAAATGTTGTACGCACATCTTTGCATCGAAAGTAGAAAAATATTTTGTGTCCTTGCAACGACGGATTAGGTACACGGGGGATATGGAGAGGCGAATACGACGCGTTTCGCTTTTCTCATTTCCATGGCTGGGAAAGTATGTTTTTTGTGATCAGTGGTCGTTGTCTGGTCCAGTTTATTCAGCAATAATGGACAAGAAATTACATGGACCTGATGCGGACAGATGGGGCCTGTTGTTCAACACATTACGGGGTGTTTTTGGGTATCATGCCGAAACATGTATACGAACCCAAGTGTTCTTTAGCTAATACTTTAAAAAAACAGAGACATAGTAGTGAACCTAATTCTTTAATTGAAACAATTGAACACGGTGAGATTATTCGTGAAGAACTCATTCAACCACTTTCACATTATATAACACCTTCAGTTTGTCTACTAGCTTTGTTGACTCTAACTGTCCCACTGACTTTAATGTATTAACTAAAGTACTTTGATAAAGCTAAGTTTTCATGCTATTTAAGCAATAGCGAAACAAATTTTTCCATTAATGATCCAGTTATTTTCCAAAATGATCTAGCCTCTTTTATCGACTTCCAAGTCGTTAGGTTAGGGTTTCACGTCGTGACACCCGGTGAGCTTTATGTAAGGATTTACTACCAAGGCCCGACTGCGCTAGATGACATCATGAAGACCCTACAAACGGCTTACGAAGACACAGGTACAAATCGTATGATGTTCACTCCAAAAGTTGGTATGGCGGTAGCCGCCCAACATTCCTCGGACCAAGCGTGGTACAGGGTCGAGATTCTGGAAGTACCCCGATCCGGCACGGTCACCGTCCTCTACGTTGACTTTGGCAATAAAGAAATGCTGTCTTGGCATCGGCTGAGGACATTGGACTTGAGCTTCGAAGAAATTCCGCCACAAGCACAAGGAATTAATCACTTTCATACGCTTTAATAAAAATTTGTTTTTTTTTTAGTTTTTTACGTCCGTTATTCCCACCTATCGGCACATTTGGGCACGGTTTATTGATTTGAAATTGTTGGCACCTAACGGCACCAAACAAGTGGCCCCAGAGAGAGGGCCATTTTGGTGGCTATATGGATTATCGGATGTATAAATTATAATTCGATGTTTAGTTACTAAATTGTCGTCATGGATATGTTGAAATGTTGAAAATATATATATATATATACATATACATGTGCGTATTATTATCTGATATAAATTGAGTTTTTAAACTTTTTGTTTTGCTGTAAATAAAAAAAAAATGTCACTCGAGGTTAAAAACGTATTTGAATACAAACCCGTCGAGACGGCCGACGAAGTGGTTTCTTGCCAAGACGTGGTCGAATGTCGTCAATTGAAAAACTGGAAGAGATGGCTTAAAATGAGAAAACAACAACACGAGCATCTCGGTTTAATGGTGAGACATAAAAAAGGCAAGCTGTTGTTCTCGACAACCGAGCACTAAAGTTGTTGTACTGTAGTATTTATATATTAATTAGGTATGTCGCAGCGCTACATCGTTGTTGATGAATCGTATTCCCGACGAGTATAGATCGAAAATTGAAGTTAAGTGGATGATCGACCAAGCGCAAAAGTTAAAAAAGACATGTATGTACAACAATAACAACGATTCGGATTCGCTGATCAAAGAGACCGAAGGATACACAAATATTTATGTACCGGACGTGGTACGTTTTGAACAAGGAATGCAACAGATCGGGAGAGACGCACGAGCTGACCTCGACGCTCGGTTCTTTCAAGCTGGCCTCTGCGAAGAATTACGCATGCTAAAGGCAATGAGGCCAATGCCGCTGAAAGATCCGCAGTCTTTGGCGATAGTCGGAAAGAAAATCACAAATGCATTACCAAAAGGTAATGCCAAAGTTATACCGTCGATTCGTATCTGTGATGTACCGCCGAATTCCAGTGGAAAACTCGTCGCCGAACGTCCGCGTATTTTGGTTAAAATAAACGAAGACGAATTTACAATAGGTGACAACAATCGTTGTGGCCGGAAAGATGTGCTTAAGTCGATTTTTAATTCTGTGCAAACCACTAGAGTCGGCGAGGACATCATGTTAAACGATATACTTATTGAAAACCGTGGCGAAACCTCTGTGCATTACAAATGGACGAAAGAAGAAATGCCCTCCTCTACAGTACTACAGTGCAATAGTAGTTTATCGAACACGCCGTTATTCGGATCGTTTTACTTTGATAATAGACCTGGCGTCATAGGTCCCGGGCAAACGAAACGAGTGCCCGTTTTGTTCAGACCGAAAAAATCCGGACCTCATAGTGAATATTGGATTTTTCACGTGCACCTTTTGAACGGGATCGATTCTGTACTGCGAGTAAGAATTCCTCTGCAAGGTTGCGCAACCAGTGCTGTAGATTATAAAACCCTGACAAATAAAGTAAGACTATACCTACAAGACGTATGATGGTTTGTAACGGAGTTTTAATGTTTCGAGCAAGCACTTCGAATAAACTCCATTTTTCATATGATTTTCAGTTGGAAAAGTCAATAATTTTGTCTCAGGCCAATTCCACGTGTAAACAATTGACAAACGACATTGTTCGTAACGCTTTTTACGAAGAAATAACTCCTCTGGTGGACAGATGCCAATACAGTGCCTGCAAAATGAACTATCTGTACCGCGCGTTACAGACCACCGAGTCTTTGTGTATCTCGCAGCTCATGTCCAAGTGCATGGGTCTCGACGACAGTTCCCGGGATAAATACATGGATTTGATCGGTGGTACATGCGTGGTGCTGCTCAAGCAAAAAGTCATCCCGGGATATCTCATAATGACCCACCGTGAACTCGATGCGCACAAAACCATGTATTTCGCTTTAAACTGTATCGACTTGATATTGAACACTTACGAATCTGACTACGACGAAGCGTGTCGTCAGGTGGAAAATTCCACACACCCGATGTTTAAAACAACCGGGTCCAGCTATAAGGTAATTACACTATAGCTATACTATAATTTCTACATTTTCACTATTCTACTTATCAATTTTTTGTCGATATACAGCATTCGAGTCTGACGTCAGAGTCTACCGAAAATTCGGACAGCGAAATATTTCCATACGATTCTTCGATTAAACACTATAATACGGACAACCACAGACTTACTGTAAGACAAGAATGGTTGAATGCAGTCGAAAATATTATCTACAAACGGTTAGAATGGGCCATAGACAATATTATTACTGACGACAAAAGATTGGTTCGATGCAATCATCATAACTTCTTGGAAAATCATCCGAAAACCGAGGAGATTAATAATAATTGTCGTAAAATGTCTCTTGTCGATCATTTTTTTGTTAACCGATATATTTAGGTAGGCACTTAATTTAGATACCTAGCGTGAAGTTAATATTTGCACACAGGCACATCAAATATATTTGTATTATATATAAAATAATAACAGCCTACTACAATGACTATACATATGTTGATAGTTCAGGTGGGACACACTATTCACACGCCACGAGGGATTCTTCTTTACGAAGTGACGAATCTTTTCGCAATAAGTACAATAATTAGTGCTATAAAGTTAATTATCTATTACTTGCTTAACCAATAAACATACCAAATATAGTTTGTTTGGACTATATGCATAATGTCTGTTTGGGTGTAGTAAATAAGTTAATTCTGTTATGGGTCAGAGGGAATAAATGCGTTAGATTGTCAGACGATAAGATTAGTGAAATTAGTTGTGAATTAAAGACATTAAGATCGTTTAACTAGATCACTTTATGATATTGAATACCGGAAAGCCTCAGAGCTTCGAACATTTTTTTTTAGTCTGGACCAGTGGTTTTAAAAGGTTTAATCAGCAAGATTACTCTAATAATTTGATGTTATTAGTATATGGTATTCGAATATTAATTTGTCAACATACATTACATGCCTTAAACAATAAGGCATTACTATATCTAAGAAAATTCGTTCGTAACTATTCAGAATTGTATGGTGCTCATTTGGTTAAGTACAATGTACATAGTTTGATACATTTACTAATGTTTTTATTAAGTGGGGTACCTACGTGATAACTACAGTGCTTTTAGATGAAGTATATTAGCACACCGGAGAAAAAAAAGAAAAATCTGTTGTTTGCATTGTAATATGGTGGAATTATGGACAAGCTGCCATAGGTTCCCAAGCCATCTTATAGTATATTTTTTCTTATCAATATTGTATTATCATGTTGTATAGTGAGTAATCATAATAACTATAATTTAATGATAAAAAGTATTAAAATGTTATAGAAATTATATCAAATATGAACTCATGGGTCCCTACATAAACCATTTCTGGCATATTATAGGAAATTCGGATGAACCGGGTAGTTGTTATCATCAATTACTTCACACCACACCCTATGCAATATGCGCTACCATACACATAAAATATGCATTGCACCTAACAGGCAATTTCGTTTATGCTACTGGCGCATCAAATTATGTAAATGAATCCGATAAATTCCTATTAATTGCCCATATCGTGATAGAGCAGCTATCTTGGGAGTCAATATTTATGCTGGTACAGTAAGAGGACATGGTGAAGAAGGTTGTTCGATTATATTTAGTACCCCTGAAGCCAGAAGGTAAAAACCATCATTTTAGAAATTACCTGTGTATTGTATATTAAGATGTACAGTAAAACCGGGTTACTTGGGCCATATTTAAGAAATTTTGAATTATGTCGTCTGGCAGCACTGAATTATCTTTTTGTTATCATTATCAATTTATTTACGCGGGAAACACACTAATGCAAACTACTGGAGTACTTACTGCCGAATAAACCAAGGTAATTATTGTTTAATTGTATAATTAAGTAGCATATTTTAAAAGCTATAAAATATATATGAATTAGGTTTAAGTCCTGAGCGCATCTTAGTTGAATGATGAAATATATTTATATGTTATTTAAGAGGTGAATATATTGTAAATCAAATTTAAATGTGGTTATCACCATAATGTAATTAGTACATGATAAGGTCTAGACGTAATCAAATTTAATCAACTTTGGGGTAACTTGGGACACCTGTCCCATGTTACACTACTGTCCCATGTTAAACCTACTGTCACTTTAAAATTAAAAAAAACTTTAATTGTATTAATATTTTCATTATTAATACCAATTAAATAATATATTTTTAGTTTCAAAATGGTTTTTGAATATAAGAAAAAAATAGGAAGTAGACCTTATAAAAATTTTAGCTGTGAAACTTTAACCCAGGCAGTACAAGATTGTAAGAATGGACTATCTTATCGGAAGGCATCTGAAAAATATGGAATACCCAAATCCACTTTACAAAAAAAAAATTGTTTACCAGTAGGAAGACTGGCAGTACTTAGTATAGATGATGAATGTAAACTCCGAGAAGGAATTATAGTGGCTTGTAAATGGGGTTTCCCATTAGGAGGGTATGATATAAGACTTATTGTCAAGTCATTTTTAGACAAAAAAGGTGTTTGAAAAGAGATTTCAAAATAATATGCCAGGAGTTGACTGGTTTAAAGGGTTTATGTCTCGTAATCGAGAGTATCTTAGTGAACGCATGGCTGAAAATATAAAACGATCACGTGCTGCCATATCTGTTTCAACTATTACTACTTACTTTGATGAATTAAAAGTATCTTTAGAAGGTATAACTCCCGAGTGCATAGTCAACTATGATGAGACTTACATAACAGATGATCCAGGTCGTAAAAAAATTATTGCTAGACGTGGTTACCGTCATCCTGAAAGGCTTATGGACTCATCAAAGTCAAATGCATCGGTAATGTTTGCTGGGACAGCCTCCGGCTGTTTATTACCACCATACATCGTATATAAGGCTGAAAATATGTATAACGCTTGGACGGAAATTGGGCCAAAAGGAGCCAGATATAATCGTTCAAAATCAGGATGGTTTGATGGAAGAATTTTTGAAGATTGGTTTTTGTATATTGTACTTCCATACTTCAAAAAACAAGGTGATAAACCTAAAGCTCTCATTGGTAACAACTTGGCCAGTCACGTGTCTCTCCAAATTATAAAAGAATGTGAGCAGAATAATATAAAATTCATGCTACTTCCACCAAACTCTACTCATTTGTGCCACCCTTTAGATGTCGCCTTTTTCAGGCCACTGAAAATGGCTTGGAGAGATTCATTAACACAATGGAAAGCTAAAAATCGTGGATGCATTCTCAAGACTGAATTTCCAAGAGTTCTTAAGAGAGTCTTGGATAAACTGAATGTAAACCAAACTTCAGCACAAAATTTAAAATCTGGGTTCAAAGCTTCTGGAATTTTTCCTTTAGACCCTAGTAAAGTACTCCAGAAATTGACAGATATTCAATTAACAACTACTGATACTTCTACAAACCCAGAGACAAGTTAGGTGCAAACTTTCGAAGAATACCTTTCTGAAAGTAGAGCAAAAGAAACCACATCAGATAGAAAAAGTAGAAAAAAGAAAATGGATGTTGTTCCTGGCAGGAGTGTTAAAAGTGTTGATGAAGATACATTTGAAGAACCCGAAACATTTATAAATAAACCAAGTACTAGTCGTGTTACTACTGAATATTCAGTTCATGATTCTAGTTCTGACGAAGAACAAGAGATATTTTCTAGTTCCTCAAGTGAAGATGAAGAAAATGTTGAACAAAGTGTAATTGTTATGAACAAAAAAAATGACCAGGCAAATCGGGATTTGAAGAAAACGACTTCGTTAAAGTTTAGTATAACAAACGTTTTAAACAAATAGCTAATATTAGTTTATTTACATATTTTACTCATGAAAATATTAAGATTGCTCAGAGAAAGTCCTAATATTTATATTGACGGTACTTTTGATGCGGCTCCATTATTTGGACAACAGTGTCAGCAAATGCTAGTCATCATGGCAAAATCTTTTTGCTATGTAAGTATAATAATTAATTATTTACTAACATACTGTAATATTACAACTTATACTTTAACTATGAATTATAGTTATGATTATGAAGGGATTTCCAATAGTTTTTGCTCTAATGTCCAGAAAGACAAAATGCAGTTTCTACTACAGTAGAAAAAAGAAAAAAATTACTTATACATTAAAAAAATACTGTTTTTGAACCAGTTAAGTTAAAATTTTTTAATTTATTGTTAAAGGCATCATCGAATGATGCTTTTTGATCAATTGAAGATACACTTGTTAACTCCATCAAAATTACTTGAATTATAATTATCGTACAAATTTATAAGAGCTAATAAAATAAACAAGACTTCAGAGGCACACCAATGTAGTACTTTCATATAAGTCGGCAATAGTTTTCAGTTGTCATCAATATCTGTAAACAAGAATCATTAATTTAAAAAGCTTTATGGAGTGCAACCTTTAATTTTCTTCTAAGCAGCACTTCTACATAAGTACGACGTCTACAACTAGGTATAAATATTTAATGAATACAAATAATACATTTTTGGGTGTTGTTGAAAATTAAGGTGCTAAGCTTCCATATATGTACCAATGATTATATTTATAATGTATTAAATCAAAATATTTAACACGTTGGCTATTACAAGAAGGTGAGGATAATTATGCTCAAATATTATTTTATTATGTTTTTTTTTATGAAATAAAAGAGTTTAGTATATTTAATAAAAATATAAAAATGAGAAATATTTACTAAAAAAAATTAAGTTTTATTTTGTGATGATAACCGTGTGATAACAGTGTGGTAACTTGGGAGCTGCTGACTATCTGGGAACCTATGACTGAATGCCGAATTATGTGATAATACACAATACTGTAGTTTTGGCGCAATTTGTTATCAATAATAATGAAGTTAGAGACATGATGATTTTATTGTCAGCTGATAAAATAAGCAAAAAAATAAAAACCCGTACAATATTTATCTATAGTTAAATGTAATAATAATATAATTTAAAAAAGATTTTATACAAGTTTAAAACCAATGGAAATAGTACGTTATGTATTTAATTCAATTTAATCCCCTATCTTCGTACTACGGGAAATAGTACACTATGGTGTACTTTGGAAATAGTACGTTTTGTAAAAATTTGAAGAATTAGTACGTTTTGCTTCATTTTTTCAAATGGATCAACTATTTAATATGGGAAATAGTACGTTTTGACATAATTTGGAAATAGTAACTTTTGATTAACTTTTGCCTTTGGAAATAGTGCGTTTTGACGTCATTCATGAAATTTAAATTGATTTTAACAAAGGAAATAGTACGTTTAGGTAAAATCTGATGGCAGCATTCGATTTCCCGCATTTTTCCCAGTAAGAATTAATATGAAACTAAATTTTGTTAATTTTGGAAATAGTAGGTTCTGGAATGTCGCCTCACAATTATATTAAGTACAAATGTATATACATTCCATTCCTGTGTCTAATAATTAGGAAAACAATTTATTTGAAGCAGACCTTTAATAAAGTTTTTATATTTAATAATTATTATTAAAAATATTAGAAGTAAACTTAAAAAATGCATATAAATACGCAGCTATTTTTTCCAAATTTCTCATCGGTCTCTCAACTCAGATAGGTAGGAAAGTAGGCGTAGGGAACGATAGGTTACGGGATTAAATCTCGGGTCAGCTATAATAAATACGGAATTATTTTTTTGTCCTATTTTAAGTTACAGATGCACGAAATTAGCAACCTCGGCAACATTACAGGGGAGTTTTGTGAAATATCGTGTAGACGCTTTTATGATGTTATAGTAATGTTACATATACTATTGCGTTGTATTATGTTTTTAATTAGGACATTAACGATCCCTATAAAATCGATTCATCGCAAAAATAATAATTAAAACAATGTTTCATGTTGACATAGGTATAACTTCCTATAAACGTTTATATAACACATTGCACAGTGGGTACCATTACAAAATTTAGCTGTTGTATTACGTATATTTTATAATTCGTATAAACTGTTATTTTAAGTCGGAAAGCAGAACAAATCATTTGCTATGCATTTCTACGTTTGACTGGACACATACCTAAAACAAATTTGTATTAGTACATTAGTAAGCTTTATATAATGACCGTCGTATAATTTCATGCATACTTTTAGGGCTAAAGGGTGATATACTCTTATGTCCCGCACGTGAAGTGAGTATAATTTTGTCAAAGGATTTCATTTTATGGGATTGTTTTTGTTTGATTAATGGTTTTTTATGGTTTCGAATTTTCCAGTTGTTATACGATTTTAGAAGTTTTATTGGCTAGGTTTTACTAGACATTTTATGGATAGTTCATACTAAAGTTTGTATACATTTGTTTTAGGCCGCGAGTATTTGGCTTATGCTGGCGGGCACAGTTATTGGCCTTGACTGTGGAATGGGGTACCCGTAATCATACGGGACAGCGTTTAGCCTACGACGCCTGACTAGAATGTACGGAACTAAAGACGATCAGCCGTACGTTCGATTGACAGTGACCGGCTTGATCTCGCCAACAGATGTCCACAGGAATTTCGCAAAGCCGAATTGCTATCTGTTGGAAATACTTTTCTGTCTGTTCAGTAGACGGACAGATTTCAAAACGGTTTTTAACATTTTAGCGGAACTTATTGGAGATTTCGTTGAGGTCATAACCCGCACTTTTTATCCAGGCCGCCTCACATAAACCATTGTATGTATTTCGGCTTTTTTTGCTATATGTGTATTGTCGGTCGTTTTTATATGTCTTTTTTTAATTTTTGGCTTTTTAGGTCGGATTGGTTCCACGTTGGGGTGTTGCCAGCACGTTGCGAGGCCAGAGTGAATCTGCTGGCGAAAAAGACAAACCTAACCGACAACCTAACCTACCAGTATTAGAACGGGAATAACATTTTTAAAAAAAAAAATTGTTTTCCTTGTTTTAAAATCCTTATTTGGGTTAGGTGGAATAGGCCAAGGTACTAGGTACCATTAGTAGATAAGTAGTCATATTATATTGTAAAAATATTTTTCAGATAATTTCATAAAAATGAAAAATCATATATGTAATTATATATATTGAACCAAATATAAAGTAAAGAAAGAGTTTGAAATTTAAATAGCTTAAAAGTAAAGAATGAATTTTATAACAAAAATTGGTATTATTAAAAAGTGACTTTGATGGGTTTTTCCCTGTACCCTTCAATTTCACATATAATTTTTTTTTAGTAAGTACCGTTTTTTGTTGTTTTCTGAAGTCCATGCACAAACATATTCTTTTCATTATATTTGGTCCGTGTTTTCATCATTGGATAAATTTCCAACACATCTACTACAATTAAAAAAAAATTATATCAAAATAATAATTATAATATACAAATTGAAAGAAATCAAATTTTACCACATTAGGTGAACAACAGGTTCTTTATTAGTTCCGAGAATGAAGTAACTGAAGATGTTTCGAGTTGATGATGCATGCAAACTTACACCAACTCCGAGGCCGTGAAATTCTAAAAAAAAAAAAAATTTATAGATTTTTAGATTTATGAAAATTTGTTTGATACTTGATACAAACGACTTAATTAAAAAATTATCATTTTTGACTTAATACTTTGATCTTGTTACATTTTTTTTTATATAATAGTAAGTTGTATTGATAACGGTTATCTACTAAAATAATCTGATAAAGTAGCAGAATGTTTTAATAGTTGATTAGTGGTTTGGTACAACACGCGAATGTTCACTTATGATAATCTACTGTTTCTGACTTAATATGTCGTTTGTACCAAGCATCAAAGAATTTTTATATTTAAAAAAAAACTTACTTTGTGTCACTGTGGACTTCAATTTTTATTTGCTTATACTGATAATCTAACAGAGTAGCACACATTAGGTTAAGAGTCGAACAAATACTAATTTCATTAAAAAATATAGACAACATCGCGGAGGGAAAAAGAATAATTTGTAATCCATTTCACATACACACTAAAATTTTTAGAACTAACAATAATCTTCGATTATAATACAATATAACATGCATACGTATACATTATACTGTCAAGGCTAACATAAAAAAAATATATATATGTATACAAACAAAATCCGACAACACACAAGGGCTGACGCCGAGACGTAGCGGTCTAATCATTCTGTTGTCGCCTGTGATTATTTTTTGATCAACAGCGCATAAGTTTAATAATAATGATAACATAAAATTGAATACAACCATATTATGATATACGTGAATTTCATTCTTATCGCCACACTCAGTTGATTCAGTTCACTCTTTTGATTAAAACACACATGCGCGCGCGCACGGTTTCAGTGCATGTTATTATGTATATATACTATTCTTGTGAAACAAGTTCTAAATTAAATATACAATGTATAAAACAAAATTTAATATTACTTACATTCTGTCAATGGCCCAATATTATTATTATTATTTGTAATACAAATATGTGATGAATACATACTATACTTCTCACTGATAACTGATTCGGATATCACACATAACGCTTAACACACACACACACACACGGTTCACTTTTTCATCAGTTTTAATCAACTATATATATATATATATATTATTATATACATATGAATACTAGAATTATATTTTTCAATACTATATTATATCTCTTAAATTAAATAAGTAAGCAACCCAATATTTTTTTTTTGCTTTACGCGCCATTTAGGCGCTTCGCAGCTTCTACCAAAGTTCTCCAAACTTCTCGATCCTCTGCATCCTCAATACTTGCTCCATTGCGTAATCTCTTCAGGTCGTCCTTAACTCGGTCCAACCACCGTTGTCTTGGCCTTCCTACAGGTCGTTTTTTATTTGGTTTGTTGATGAGTACCTGTCTTATCAGTCCACCTTCTGCACGCCAAACATGGCCAGCCCACTCTAACCTTTTCGACCTTAGAAATCTTTTAAATTGGCTGTATTAAACAGACTGTTTAAGTCAGCGTTTTTTCTTCGCTCGTATACACCAGTATTGGGGTTTAATATAGGCCCATATATTTTTCTAAGTATTTTCCTTTCGAAAGTCAATAGGTTATTCTCGTCACCCTGCGTCGTGGACCATGTCTCACATCCGTACATGACAATGGGGCGCAAGTAGGCAATGCATAGTTTTTTCTTTGTGTCTCTAGAAAGCAGTTTCGATGTGAACATTTTTCTCATTGCATGGTATCCTCGGTTTGCTGCACTTATCCTGGACTTAATCTCGTAATGCATATTATTTTTATGATTTATATTAGCGCCTAAGTACTTAAAATTTTAAAAGCAACCCAATATACATGTTGTATATGTAGTATTTAAATATACTTAAGGCAATTGATAAATAAAAAATAAAACAAATAAAAATAATTATATTACCTTTAATTAAAATAAGTAAGCAACCCAATATACATGTAGTATGTGTAGTATTTAAATATACTTAAGGCCAATGATAAATACAAAATAAAATATAAATTAATAATAATATACTTATCCTTGCATCAGTCATGTCTACTTCTATTTTAGTACACCGATAATAAATTTCATTTTAAATGGATTTAGGTTTTCTTCATCACAATGATAATTATATTACATTTAAAGGACATTGTATAGTTGTTATCTGTTATGGATTTTATTTTTAAGATTCATTCTGTATAATTATATCTATTTGTTATATATAATATGTGTTTTTGTTTTTTGTTTTTAGATCAATGGACAAATTATTACAACAAATTAACAACCAAAAGACTAAGAAAATCTATTTGAAAATGTCAGATTTACAAGTTGAAAAGGTTTAAGTTGTTGAAAGTTTATCTTCTATTGTCACCCGATACGGAAAGGCACTTTTGGCAACACTCAATAATGATTCGGAGCAACTAATTTTACCAAGACTAAAAATGACTGATCAGGAATGCGAACTATACAATCTCAGTGAAGAAAAGTTTAAATTAATATATCATGGGAAAACGGGAAACGCTTATAATTATGATATACAATAATATTATATAACAAATAATTATTGTATCACAATATTTTACAAAATTAAAAATTTGTTATTACAATTATTTGATTGAATAATAGTTTATTATTTTAAATTTAGAATAGATCAAATATCATTGTATTTTACAATTTAACAAAATAATAATAAATAATTATTACTATAAACGTATACACGGAGATTTGTTTATTTATTATATAAATAGATACTTGTGGTTAGGGAGAAAGAATACTACCAAGGTCTTCGCTCATGTCGTAAAAGGCGACTAACGCGACGTAGAGCCCTTTCGACAAGTGGCATTCTGACAGGTCACTTCTTCTTGTGACACACCTTCTCAGGCCCGCAATTAGCACCCAGTGCTACTAGTCGGTCCGCAGTAGTAGGGGATCCCCTTCGGGGCTAACCACAATATTGAATATATTGAATGAGTTTGCAAATTATCTTACTATTGGATACTTATATAAAATCGAAATAAAATAATGGTATTTAAATATTATAACATGTATACATCAGTTATTTATTGTTTGTTACAGTTGATTTGGAAAATGAGTGAAATTACGTTTCTATGTGGGTGTGGCATTTCATTTAGATCTAAAAATGAATTAGATCAACACTGTTTATTCTTGGATAACCACAGACCATCTGTGATTACTACAACCGAAACTGATTCTTTAAAACGGTCTAACGCAGACGATGGATTTATGAATAGAATTAGGAAAAAAATTACTAAGATGGTATGTATGCAAGTCCAAGGTAATGGATTTGTACAATTGCAGTCTGCACTTAATTCTCACGTTCAGACATTCTTTTACAAAAACCAATCAGATATTGAAGGAATAACTGAATTTATTATCGACATTTGTGATGAAATCATTGAACTATTGCAAAATTCTACATAAAACGGTCTTGTAAAATTAAACGTTGTCCTACATGCTACATATTTTCATCAAACGACAGGTCAATCAAAGAATGTTGGATTTAAAACTACTAATAAAAAGATTGATCAAGGAACAGACTACGTGGAGTTATTGGAAAAAATTATACAAAAATTGGAATTCGAACGAGAAACACTTGACATTAAAGGCTCAGGATGGACACTGCTTTTGCTCGATGGCTTATTAATTCGTATTCACAAATATTCACCACTATCAGGAAGCTCTTTTATAGATCTGCCAAAATGTGTAAAAAATAAAAAAGCTATTATTAATGTGAAAAATTCAGATAATATGTGTTTTAAGTGGGCAATCTTAAGTAAATATATGACCGGATGTCGCGAAGAAGTTTGGAATCCTCGTTATATTGAGTTAGACCGAGAAAAAAATATTAACTTTTCGGGTATAGATTTTCACACGCCTATATTTCAAATAAATAAATTTGAACGAAACACCCTACATTATCAGTTAATGTGTTTGCACTGGACGATAAAAACAATGTTTACCCACTGCGAATCACGAAGAAACGGACAAACATGATTGAACATATTGATTTGTTGCTGATAACTTCAGCCGACAGTAACAATCATTACTGTTTTATATCTAATTTTTCTCGTCTTGTCAGTAAACAAAGGACAAACCATCAACATCAAGACTACTATTGTAAAAGATGTTTAAAATCGTTTCATGATGCACCACTCTTAACTCAGCTTTGGGGTGCGATTGGTCTGGATGAACACTTAAAAGAATGTGAAAAGTTCAAAGAAGCCAGGGCTGTACTTCCGGATCCGGGATCAGAAAAGGCTATTTTAAAATTCAATAACATCCGCAGAGAAGTACCAATAACATTAATAGTGTATGCAGATATGGAATGTTTGTTAAAACCGGTCAATAAACAAATAACAAATAGTTCATGTATACAGAACGAACATATCCCTATAAGCTACTGCTTCTACGTTCGTCCAGACCCAAACATACTGCCCGACAACATATGTGACGTCTTACCAAAAGCTCCAGTGTTGTACCGTGGTCCGGATGCGGCAAAACATCTTGTCAACGCTTTAGTAGCTTTGGGCCGACAAGTATTGGACATATTGAAAACAAATATTGATATGTATCAATTGACTGTATCTGAACAAGACAAGTTCGATAAAACATCCCGGTGTGAATCTTGCTCGGTGCCGTTTGGAGATAAATGTGTAAAAGTACGTGATCACAACCACTGGACGGGAAAGTTTGATTTTTGAAAGATGATTGCGCATGTGCATGGATCATCGATTTGATCCCCTCCCGTGGAATTACAAATACAACTAGAATATTTGTCGTCGTTTTCTGCTGCAGAAAATCCAAGTTGTTGCGCCATGTTTTTCATAATTGAATATTTTCTTGACATTTTCGACACCGATTTGAAAAACGTGCTCCGTTCTGGAAACGTTATAAACAATCTTTCGAGTTGATTGTCGATTTTTTGCAACAAGTCCATTGTAAATCACTACTCACACTAAACTAAAATTTAATTATTGAAAACCCGGAGCCGCAGCCGCAGCCGCCGCCGCATGGTAAAAGGTAAGTTAACACGAGCGCGCAGCTATGATGAAATCGTACGACGTGTGTGAGTCATTAAGGTGGCGCAACCAAGGGGGGTCCCCGGGTCCAGACCCCCCCCCCTGAGTATTTCTAAAGTGAAAAATTGGGAAGGTAATTTTAGTTATTGTCTAATTATATTTTACAGTAAACACTATTTATTTATTTCAGCAATATAATAGTTTAGTATTGCCTGCTTTGCAGCAGATAACAAATCATTATCACATATTGAAACCGTGGTATAAGGTCTATGATATCACGTCATAATCATTGATTAATATAATATAATAAATAACCATGATTGTATACATTGACATAAACGTGTTTACGTTTATGGCAATCGCTTATCGCAATAATATTTAACCTACTATTATCAAACAACAATTTAATTTTCATCTTAACTAAACCCTATAGGCAGTCGGT